CATCAATTCTGCCTTCACGTCTCATCGTCTCTTCCTTTAAATAATTTTTTGTTTACTTTCTGGAACCCTCTAGAAACATCCGGATCGTTTGTTTTTTCTTTGAACTGTTTAACTGCTTTCCCAGAACGCGGTACGACACACATTTACAAATACGGCGCACATGAAGAAAGCTAGTCAGCGAATCAATAAGCCGTTCACACACACGTGTGCTCGATTGCAGACAAACACGCTCGTGCTCGCTACAGTATTAATGCATTCACTTGCCAAACATGTATTAGGTTGTCGGTACATCTGAATGGTTATTCTGAAGCAGGGTGTAGATCGTTCCAGCGCCTATCGAAATTCATCATATACAAATGTCATTGCTGGGCTTATGACACGATTATCTGTCAGATGCCGGCCGCTTCCCCTCAACCCTCCCGGTTACGATTTCCCATAGTACATCTGACAAGTCACCACCAGAGCATCGTCTATGTCCAACAACTCCTTTGTGAATTCTGTATACATTTACTTCCAGATATTTGGGTGGGTCCTTTTAGCAACCTTACGGAACAAACTTTTCTTGCAAGATGAAAATACCTAATTTGAAAATGGGAGACATTGATTATCTATCTCAGTCACATTATTAAACGGTTGATTGCATTAGCTAGAATCAATTTAATCAGACTTTCTTTTATGAAAAGCAATTAGCTAATAATAAACGGAATGTCATTTTATGCAAAATCACTATAAGCGAATTTCACTATATGTTTTTAAAAAAGTAACAGGTGCTGTCGCGAATCGCTTCTTTGCACTTCTAATTTAACCTTCTATCTCCTTTCACTAGAACTGATCTTTCTCCGACCTCTAGACAACCATTGATAGGGGCTGGACTAGAGAAATTTACCCTTCTTTGTAATTCTAGGGTAATCGCGGCAATCCACCATAGCTGACTTGATTGCTTCTTCGCATATGGTGGGTTGCCTACATGTAACAGTATTTAAGGTCTGTTGACAATTCATAGTATAGTTTTAACATTAATTTTATTAATTTTTCAGCGGTGAACCCAAATTTGTCCTAATAGGTGACCTAAATATTAATAGAACTGATGATGATGCACGACCACAACTGTTCAACGTAAAAGAAAAGATTTATCACCCAAACTATAGACCGCCATCATCTTACAACGATATAGCATTAATTAAGTTGGATAAGCCGGCCATTTTGAATACATACGTCAGACCTGCCTGTCTTTACACCGATCCTGAAATAAGAACAACAAAAGCCTTGGCAACTGGATGGGGTAAAATTGGTTTTACAAAGGCAACTAGTCCCGATCTACTAAAGGTAGCCCTGGAAATATTTACCTACGACAGATGCAGACAGGCATACAAAAATTTACAATTGAAATTGCCCAATGGAATCCAAGAACGTTCCCAGGTGTGCTGGGGTTCGCAAACTGAAGAAAAAGACACTTGTCGGGTAATAAATGCTTAACAAGCTTTTTTCATCACCATTGATACATAAATATTAATTTGTAGTAAAGTTTATAACGTTGGTTCCAAATTCTGCACAACTGCCTTTATAATTACTTTTTAATGTTGGATAGTTAATATCAAACTAAAAGCTTTTGTTTAAACAATTGTTTTAATTTATATTTTTCAGTTCGATGTATTATACACTATGTCTGATCAATACTCTTAAAAAAATTCTACACACCGTATCACGCGGAATCCCTGTTTGCTGTGCAATGACTCAAACCGAAATTGTCTTCTATTAATCGTACAACAATTTGATAGTACCGACCTGTCGTCTTTACGGGTCTTCGCCCCTCGTTCATTTCTATTGTAAAAATAAACTTATTTTTCTAATTTGTGGTAATAGTGTTAACATTGCCAATCGGTTGATAACTACGGAGTACAGACTACTACTAATGCAATAAGCGTATGTGCGTACCAGCTGTTGCGAAGGTCACGAGTAGGTACATGTGTTTCGTTGCTTGACGCTTACGACACCGAAGGATGATAAGACAACGTGGCCGCCAACCTGACGAGTGTTCTCAATCATTGACGACTCATTAACTGGGTCACTTTTTAGTTTTTACACCCCTACTTTGCGCACTATCACGAGATGGACTCTACAGTTGCCTTTCAAACTTTTGGGAATACAGATCAGGCATAGTGTATAAGCTACGTATTTATAAACAATTGGTTTGTATAGCAGATTAGACTAAAAGGTTTTTTCGTATAAATACATCGACCCGTCATCTATCGTCAATGCTCTGAAAAGCAGCGAATTAATCAATGTTGGCAGTAACTTCTTAGTTTAATTCAATTTTCTTTTCTTTCCCTTATTTTAAGATTATAATGTCAGAATAAAAGCCGGGAAGTCAATTATTATTTTTCTGTAGATGATACCAGATGAGACAGTGGTACATGTTTTGTAGATATTATGAAGTTATAAACCATTAATTTGTACATCAGTATATCTTTCTATAAAGTAATAAATTAAATTAATAATCAAAAGACACGTGAAGAAAACAGATTTCAAAAAAAAAATGCAGACAGAATTAATAATCTGACAATTCAACACCGAACTTTGAGTTCAAAATAGTTACCTTTAAACTTAATTGATTTAAATTCCTTTTTAATTATTGTTGTATGTTTCATTATTTTCAAGGGTGACTCCGGAGGACCTTTGCAAATTGGTAGTAAGAACATTTACTGCATGTACGAAATAATTGGAATTACGTCTTTGGGAAAAGCTTGTGGATTTGTGAACATTCCCGCAATCTATACTAGAGTTTCCTACTTCGTTGGGTGGATAGAAAGTGTTGTCTGGGGAACCTGATTTAGTTTCCATATGATTGTGATATATTTAGATTATTGTATTTCATAATATTAATAATAATAAAAACAAAAGTTGTTACTTAACTAAAACTGACTCATCCCTAATTACCACAATTAATTTTAAAATATGTACACATGCATTTCCCTCACTTTAATTATAGCTATTACTATCGTCACGGCCACTTAAGCAAAAAAAATTTTTTGTGGTTTTTCAATAGTGACGAGCAAAACGAGACCAAGCCAAGACTGTCCCAGCTAAAGCTACTGGAGACTGGATTGGTGACGGTCGATCAATCGTCAGTTTAGGCAATGGACGGATTGTCACAATCGGTAGTTCGTGGCCTAGAATCATTTATTTGTGCCGTCAAGGCTCGAGACGGCAAGGTAGACAGCTTGCAGCTGGGTGGTACAGCAGGGTACGTTTGTAACCAGGGGAACTTAACGGAGATGTAGCATTTGAGTTAGAGAGGAGATTCTCCGCTGATTTCTCTAGTTCCCGCTCAGCCTTTTACATAATTTCTGGAGCTAGCTTTCTGCCGAAGTCGCATAGTATGTAATTAGCACTTAGGAAAAGCACAAAAAAGTGGATATTGCGTAATACGAATGGTGTTTAAAAATTAAAAGCGAGAAGATTACAGGTGTCTTATAATACGGTTTTTGGGATTGGCGTCTCATAGAATGTGTCTTACAACCGCCTTTGTCATCACTGATTCATATAAACTACTACTAAGGATGTTCCGGTATCATAAGAAGCCTAAGAAGCCAAAAAAGTTACAAAAAGTACTCTTATGGAGTCAATTATCTATATAAATTTAAATTACTTTAATTAACCCAAAAATTACTCAAACCATCCAGAAATACAATTTCATGTACGTAATTTTCGCTTGTGAACGTAAATACAGAGTTTTTCTGAAATACGTAGCAAGAGGTGATAGGTCACTACAAAACAAGAAAATTAAGTAAATGTTTGCTGATCCGAAAGTCCGCCGTTTTAAAAAGAAACGTATTTGAACGGGCCAGTCCGGCCCTGGCACAATCACGCAGTTAAATGCGACAGTGCAACGCCGTAATCAATCAGCTGCTGTTTAGCAGCATCCGTGTTATATTTCTTTCATATTTTTGTACTTATGTACTGTTTGTTATTTGTATTAGATTAGATTAGGTGTGATTAACCATGTTTACGTTACAACCAGCCTTGAGTAATTTTTTATTCTTTTAACGTTGTGCTTTTGTATTACGTAATGGGAAGATAGAAGATAAAAGGACTCAATGGAAGTCAATAAAAAATAGACGAGATAGGTTGGTAGGACACCTTCTCAGAGACATATTAGAGGCAGAAACAGGAATTAAGAGGGGTAGAGGTAGACCTAGGTTAGATTACTGTTCGCAAATAGTTAAGGATGTGGGTTGCTCTTGTTTTAGGGAAATGCGAAGACTAGCTCAGGATATGATAGAGTGGAGGTGCGTGTCCAACCAATCTTAGTACTGACGACCTTATGATGATACAATTACTTATCCGGACGGTATCAATTTACTTATTAATGATTACGTCACGTCATTTCTTTGTGTCCTTAATACCATATCGAGGTGTAATTTAATTATTGCAACGGGCGTCAAAAGTAGTAACGTAGTAATAACGTATTGATACTTACGTACTAAACGCAACACAACCGTCCTTGTTTACAGTCTCCATCAATGTACCAGCTTAGTTGTTATCGCCATTTCTCTGTACGTTGCCAATTCACGACCAGGACCGGGCTTCGGTTTACAACTTGTGTTGTTTTTCTTAAATTTTTTTGTCTCTTAATGACGCTGTTTTACTCACCATGCAATTCCCTTGTTAACACATCCAAAGCTTGCTATTTATTTCAGAAACACCCTGTACAGATTTATAAAAAAAGACCTTAAAATTTGACTCCTAAAATAAAAGGTAAGATCACCAAAAACTAATAAGGTAACCCGTAAACCATTGCGCATGTGCTAAATTTGACAATTTTTCCCATGACCTTTCCCTAGTAAAATACTGTTGGTGATCACTTAAAATGGAACAGCCTTTACTATAATGATTTATTACACGCTAATCTAATTTATTGCTTTTATAGCTTATCAGTAAAATTATGTTGAAATAATCACCAAAACTACAAACTGACTGTAATCTAATATTATGAAAGTAGCATAACATTTAATGCATTTACGCTTTTAATACTGATTTTGAAATGGATACAACCGCATTAATAATTATCGAAATAATGCACTAAATTATGCCAACAAAATCTTCTCTTGAAGGTTTAATGCAATACTGTACTGTATCATATATTTATGTACGTTTCTATGTACTTGCTTGCTGTGTGTTTGTAGATGTATAAGTCACCTACCATATTCTCTAAAAACATTCATTTCCCCTGTTGATGTTTAATATAACCAGTTGTGTCTGTTGTTTGTTATTTACCAGCAACTAATGTTCAGTTTGAACGTAAAAGTATGCAAAAGTTTGACTTAAAAATGTGGCTTTTCAAGTGTTTTGTCCTCATTTACGTTATCTTTTTAAAACCAAGTAATTGCCTATATGAAGGTAAGTTTTCTTATTTATTTATTGTTATAAATTAAAAGATATAACTGCAATTTAATAGCAAAATTTAGGCTTCTTAGCGCTATTCATTTAAAATATCTTCTACAGCTAACACAAAAATTTCTCATTTGGATCACCCAGTATTTTTTACATATCTGTGTTGTAAATTGAATTGATATGCATTTCTAATTTTAGTAATAATTAAGTAGTATTCTTTGCTATAATAATAACATTAATGCATTATGATTGTAACCGTAGATAGTTCAACAATGCCGATTGTTACCTAAGGCAATAATTGTTTTTTATACAGGGTATTTAATACTAGCGTTGGGTATGAAATTTTTGAAACCACCTTNTAAATTGAATTGATATGCATTTCTAATTTTAGTAATAATTAAGTAGTATTCTTTGCTATAATAATAACATTAATGCATTATGATTGTAACCGTAGATAGTTCAACAATGCCGATTGTTACCTAAGGCAATAATTGTTTTTTATACAGGGTATTTAATACTAGCGTTGGGTATGAAATTTTTGAAACCACCTTAATTTGTTAATTTTAAATGGAACAATATATTTTATTAAAAATATTGTAAACTATTTCTGTGCCTGGAATTAACAGTTCAAGCCCTTTCATAACTCTGATGATATAATGATTAGTCGCATTTTTTGAAATGAACCCAGTACTTACTTATTTCAAATTATTAAGAGTCGTCTAAAACTTTGTTAGTTGCGTTATTTCGTAGATAATCTACAACTATTTTATCTATGAAAACTGTAGTAAATAAGTCGTTTTCAATGTCGAAACCGATTGAGTTATGAGACATTTTAATACGAAAATTAATAGGTAAAGAAAGTTGGTCTACAATAGTTTTGGACTGCATGCCAAAATCTTTACCGTGAACACGTCAACTATAATCTATAGTCCAGTCAAATTAGGAGTTTTACCTCTGAATAAGCGATAATAAGCTGTAAACTTGTATAAACTTTTATTTTGGCATTCTAAATATTTGTGTCAAAAGTCACATAAAATCTCGTATCCGCGGCTTAAGATTTTCAAGATCAAAAGTCACTAAAATCGATTTTTCGCTAA